CAACAGAATGCGAGGTATGCACCATTACCCGGCATTTAGCTCTGGATCATGACCGGGTTAAGATCTTCTCTCAAGTGAGCCCATGTCAGACTAATAAACCCAACCCGAACATGCGCAAATTCCGCTCCTCCGCCGACAGGGACGGATCGGTGTGCGTCTCGAAATCGGCGATTGATTTCAGTTGTTTCGAAGTGTCGGTGACGGAAACTGAAACATGAGGAACTCCTGTCACGTCGCGAGGAGGCGTTCAGAAGGTCGTCGTGAGGGAATCTTTGCTTCGAACGCGGCCGACTCCGGCACATCGATTTGGCGGATATCCTCCACGGAGGGTGTTTCCCGCGTGCGGAGAAGTTTTTCGAGGAGAAAAAAGCACCCGGATGTCAGCTCATCGGTCGATTAACATTACCCTGTATCATGCAGCGAAAGCGGAACATTGTACGAGTTACTAATGTGCAAAAGCTTGTGGCCGACACGGTCTGCGGCTACGGTCTGCTGGTTCTCGAGCGACGAGTGGAAGAGAGCAAGCGAGCTATTCAGCCATTCGACGCTCACCATCCATCCATCCAAGCACGGACTCCCATTTCTCAATCCCTTGCACTTCCGCTGCTGTCTACTGGGAGATTGTCAATTACTTTGCCATAAGTTCGCACCCAGTGGTTCCTCTCTCGCGCTCGTTTATCCAAGCCGTGGAGAGTGGAGATAGGCGCTTGCCTTGATGTCGTCGACGAGCTCGTAGTACCTACCCGATTCCTCCGCGCAGCCAGGCTGGCAGGAAGACAAGCGAGCAAGCAAGCAAGAGACTAGGCAGTCAGGCAAGCTGGTTGGTGGATGGATGGCCGGGTAATGGAGGTTTCCGCTTGGCCGAGCACTTTCTATGGGCTCCTAACAAGGGGGCGTGACGCATGCTACAAGCAGACTCCAAGGAGCGCAGATTCCTGCTCCGAGAAAGTATTTTTTCCGACCTTCTCGATGCTGTCGCCGTTCTGGAGGATTCCTTCCAATAAATCAGAGGGATTTCACACTCGGCTCTCCCGACTGGCTCTGTGAGACGATGCGAGACATTCGCGACGAACACTTCGAGAATTCCGATTGCAACGATCTCTGCAACCTCAGGAGCTCCTACGAGCTGTCGAAAAATTCGTCCGTCTCCGGTGGCCTGCCCAGAGGGGGAAAGGCAAGGGGCCATGGTCCTCTCAAGATCTCTTTCTGGCCCATAGAGTTCCATGTTGAGGCTCATCATCATCGGTAATTAGTCCCTACCGATACAATGGTCCTGCCCTCCCCCTCAAAAGAAATTCCTGGGCACGCGCCTGTCCGTATCCAATCATGTAAATTCTCCCCCAAACTTGCGGGGAAATTCCCTTCGTGGATAATCGAAATCAGAACCTTCTTACTCTTGGGCTCTTGCATTCCGGACACCTCAGTTGGAGCGCCATTCTCGGCTCCTCTATCCTGCTCCTCGATTGTCTCTCGTCGAGCGAGTGAAGAAGAATCTGATTAAACTTCATCAGTCGACCGTCTGTCAGCTGAAACGATCGAAGACGTTCCATCGAGCGCCGTCTGCCGCTCGTCCCGGAAGCTTCGGTTTCCTCGCGAGTACCCGAGGTTTTTCCGTGAAAGAAGGTGGTTCTAATAGTAAAGAGAACTATCTATCTTTTGTTAGTCGACGATGACATGGCCACTCAACGATTCTAGCGCCGACGGCATTACCTGAAAGCGTAGATGAAATAGTCCACAATACGAGCGGAGACTACAACGAGACAGCCAACAAAACGTGTTGAGCCGTTTCTTTGCCTCATACGGAGGCACCGGTTGTTACGATGTGACTCCGGAGTCTCTCCACCGAGGGCGTTATTGTCGACGTTGTTGCTGTTGCTGTTGTTGTTCTCGAGCTTGTTGTACTAGAATCTGGAGGGCTTGCTCGCCCGAGCTCTCGGCGACGAAGACGACGAAGACAACAACAACAACATCGCCGTCCACACCGGCGAACAATGTGTGCTAAGCTAACCCGAGTGACTGCTGTCGCTACGGTCACTGACGGCGGCGGCGGCAGCAGCAAGCACTCTCTCTCGAGTGACAATAGTTTGTTAGTGCAACATGAGGGGCTGGTTGCATTGAGTCGTGGCTCCATTTTGCTGACTTTGGCTTCTCGATGGCCTTTTCGATCTAAACACGCCCAATGCTTTGTATTTGGTTTCAGCTCAAGAGCCGCGCAGCAGACAACGCTTGTTAGCGATTTGGGAGAGCTACACATGCGACATGCAAGTCAGTCGTCAGTCAACTTCTGAGCGACCAAATCGGCACTTCGGCTGCCACGCCGCACATTTTCCGCCTATTCGTTACGACCTCTTGAGCTACTCCTAAGCCGAGACTTGAGATCTTCGGGGAAAGCGCCGCCCTTCCGCGGGAAACCTCCTCGGGTCGATACTGAGCTCTTCTGAGATTTCGACCGCATCCTCACGGGATGATCCCATACTAAGCTGTCGGATTAGGTACCGAAATTCGCCTTGGGGAGGGGGCAGGGGGTAGCGGAAAAAGGAGTGATAGAGTTTCCCGATCAGTGCCGTCCGTAAATGTCTCGATATCCGATCATCCTGAGGCGTTGACCTCTTGTGGGTTCCAGCAGTCGTCATATCGATAGTCTTTCGTGCCACAAGTGATAAAGCTTTGCGGCTGCTCCCCGAGGGAGACCCCGTCGATCCGATGAGTGGGTGAATTTTTCACAACGTGTAAAATAATAAATAGTTCCCGTGCGGGGAGGGAGTTTCCCTTGATTGAAACGCTCGCAAGCGACACCGCCCGATCAGCAAGGTATAACATTGCACTCAACGCGTTCGCAACCTTTCTCCGCCTGGGCTTTGTAACTCTGCGCCGCTGCTGTCGCATTTGAGGCCGCGAGAGCAGCGGCTTGGCAGAACTCTGATATCCCTCATGAGGACTCGCCGACCAGTTGTTCGCAGCTTGCTTCGTTTGATCGTTCGTTCGTTCATAAATTAACCCCGAGGCGTGAAGTGACTCGACTTCACTCCATTTCACTCCACTCTCAGACGGGGCGGGCTGATCTTGGCGCCACCGCTGAGATTTGCGTTTAAAGCACAACAAGTCGACGACACAGCGATACCTGCCCTCTTTCTCGGCTGACTTTGCTCTTTTGTGCTTGCCAGCGGACACTCTGAACTTGCCGTATGTACCTTCCACCCCAGGTACCTACTCGAGAAGCATTGTACTAGCTGCGACTCGTTTTGTATTACGGAGCTCCGGAACAGCAGCGCTCACCGATCACGAGTCTCTCAGCGATGACAAAACGGACAAAAGTCGCATTGACTTCAATTCACACCTCGTCGGTTTCGATCTTTTTCCGGGACATGATGTTCTTAGGGCACAAAGCATCCAATATACATGTGTACAGTCGAGTCCTCTCGACTCGGAATTCTTCGGAGTCGCCATCAACGGTTCCGAATCACGCCAGACTCCTTCACTGGAGGGCTCCTTCAGTGCGTCGAGCATCTAGTAAAACTTCGATGGATAATCGGGGAATTCAGGCGAAACATTCGTTGCTCAGCCAGAATTCTAGGAGAGCTACGGGAGGCTCCGGATCGATGAGGGGGGTTTCGGAAGACAAATAAGGTATTCACAGACATTAAGTAAATGCTTACGCTCGAGCTTTCAACACCGACCGGAATTTCAGCATTGAATCATACCTGGAAATTTGTCAAGTCCCTAAATCCTGAGCTTACTATTGGGCTTATCCGAGGCCAGGTGGGTAAGTGAGAAACTCTCCGCGATGCTTTCTCATGGGATCGGAGTTCTAGATTCGGCCCATCAGTCAAGTCTGGAGCAAACGGACCGGGGAGCCGCAAGATTCCCAAAGTGAGCTCATACAATATCTTACGAGGAAACTTCTTCCGGGGGTCGATTGCATACTTTTCCAGTGTGGGAGAATTCCACGGTGGCCAGACAGCGATAATACTCGCCATATTCTTGGATCGTTATTTGGATATTGACCACGACGCTGGACGCTCTATCGACCGAAGTGAAGGCAAAGGATACGGCGGCGTATGTGAAGCTGCTAAATGAAGGATGAAAAAGCAGCCCGGCGAGATGAGACCGCTGGACGATAGTTCGAGAATCTCACGACGAAAACGATGATGTTGCCGTCGGATCTCCGCATGGCGCAGATATGGCCCGCTGGATCGATAATTTCTCCGATTTCTCACCGAAGAGACTTTCTTCTTTTCCGGATCGTAATGCCTTCGCTGTTGTTAAGGCAGCAGCGGCAGCACTCGTTCGTTGTTGCTGAATTCGACGAGGACAGCAGCGCCACATGGTCCGCCCGCTGTGAAGCAAATCCCGCCCGTCCCAGGCCCCGCCTAGCGCGAGCGCTGAACGGCTCGAGGCACAGCGAACAGAAGAAGGCTGCTGCTAGTGCGTCTTTTAGTTGTGTACAGTGGTGTTTGGTTTCACGTCGTCTTGGATTACCACAGCAGCTAGTCCGTCCGTCCGTTCCTTCTAACGTTGCTCCGTTTGTCGATCCGTTCTAACGTGGAGTCTGAAAAGTTCGAGACTCGATCTGGACTAATTTCCCGGAGTCCAATCAATCGATCGAGAGGCTCATCCACTTACCGTGGCTGTCTGCCTGCCTGCCGACCAGCCACCGATGTTTCCAAGGGAGATGACACTCGTCCCTGCCTCGTAGCGGCAGAAGCCGTCGTTGCAGGAGTCGCCATCATCGTCGGAGAAGTCTCTCGAGCCAGAAGAGAACGAATAGAATCGGAACGAAGAGTGCATCCGAGTTCTGGAAGACGAGTATCGATCATTCTGACCTCTCCGACGGAAAACCAGTCAGACAGGATAGCTCGCCGGCGCTCCACGACGGCCGGAGGAACTTCGCCGACGACTGGGGTCGAAGTGAACCGAGAACACGACGTGAACATGTGTTAGCTTCTCCAGCCGGTATTGTAGCCGGTATTGTGCGCAATCCTCGCAACGATAACATCGTTTGATCGCTATCGGCCAGAGCCTCGACGAGCAGCAGCAGCAGCGACGACGAGGACGAAGACGACCTCGAAAGGGGAACGAACGGGCCAACTGTGAGACAACGTTGTTGCTTTTCTCAGCCACATACCTAGCTAGCCGGTTAGCCATTTAGGCTAGCTAGCTAGCGGACGACGAGGAAGAACGGAAATGACGACCACACCGCCAACGGATCTCAGCCAGTCCACTCTGACTGGAAACCTTACCATCACCCCAGCACCCGTTCTTCCGACGTTTGGTTTTACCCAGGAACAGGTCGCGTGCGTTTGTGAAGTGCTACAACAGTCGGGTGATGTTGAACGATTAGCGCGATTTCTATGGTCTCTCCCCGCTTTGGAAACCCTGCAGAAGAACGAGTCGGTCCTCAAAGCCAAAGCCCTCGTCGCCTTCCACCGAGGGAACTTCAAGGATCTCTATAAGATCCTCGAATCTCACGCTTTCGCCCCATCAGCTCATCCCAAACTTCAAGCGCTCTGGCTCAAAGCTCACTATATCGAAGCCGAACGGGTTCGTGGCAGACCTCTGGGCGCTGTCGGGAGGTACAGAATCCGCAGGAAGTTCCCGTTGCCCCGCACCATCTGGGACGGGGACGAGACCAGTTATTGCTTTAAAGAGAAGTCGAGAACCATCTTGAGAGATTGGTATGCTCATAATCCTTATCCCTCACCGCGGGAAAAACGTGAACTCGCCGAGGGAACCGGATTGACTACTACACAAGTTTCCAACTGGTTCAAAAACCGACGCCAAAGAGACCGGGCAGCCGAGACGAAAGATGGGTACGTAAACTTTATGATACCGAGTACGTATACATATATTTTTTCGATCAGACCAGCGGCTCTCCGAGTGGTCCACAGGGACCCCAGGTGGTCCATGTGGCAATTCTCGGCTCTCCGTAGGATCCTATCGGAGGGGGTCCACAGAGTCCTTGGATCTAATGCTACGAACCCATAGGGGGGGTTCACGGGGGTCAACGGCCCGTAAAAGTTTGAGAACCACTGGACTAGACTATCAACTTGGACATGGGAGAGATTCAATCACTGCGAGAATCACTCCTTCCTGGGGGAAGGGCCAGGGGTTCCGAAGGATGCGTGAAAAATTACGATCTCCGGCTTTCCTGCATGATGAGAGGAGGCTGATCTTTCAATCTCATGCTTTCCGTGTCAGTCCGGGGCTCCAACAGAGAAGCGGCTCGCGCGGGATGCTCAAGTGCCAAGCGAAAGTACCAAGAAAACCAACGAGCTATCCCTTTGTTCTTAGCCATCCCTTCCCATTCACGTACGCCAACAGCGGATTCCCGCCGCTCGAGGAATCGCTCAGAAGCGATCCATTCAAAGAAATAGATTCTTTCGACTCCTCAGTCCCCACAATAAGAGGCTTCTGACTTGTGACGTTCCATAAAACTGACCGCTCGAGATACTATCATCGATCATGTACAGGTCCCAAGTCACAACTGATGTACATTAAAAATGGATAGGGTTTCCATATAACTTATACGAATCTGTGGGAAATGATGCCCATGCCGCTGACCCCGCACAACATTGATGCGAGATCCGAGTCTCCTTATTACACCGCTGGCAATCGTAGCCTCATATCGACCTATCTACACTCTGAACCTTATCGACCGTTACGACGTCCTCAAACCCAAAGGATGTCCTCGACCACAGGGCTTCCCAAATGATGAGTCCTGACCGCGAGACGATGAGAAAAAATTGATAGAATGATGACGAATTGGTGAGATCCACGAGCTCGTGACCACTGATTTCCTGGGACTGCCGGAGCTCTGATTACTATACATGTAGGAGAGCGTACGTTCGTGAATTCGATCATCAAATCCCTTTGCAGTGACCGCCTGATTGAAAAAATGTGAACCCAGATCAGAGCTGTCCCATCGAGAAGCACTTTTCTAGGCTCCCATCCTGAGATAGGCTGTCTGGCGACACCTGGATTCTTTGGGATCCACTCGATTCGCCTGAAATAGGTATCCCTGGGCCAAACAATGGCTTTCTCTTCATTCTCTCTCGACTTGTCGTCTCCGACGTATACGCAGAGAGCCGAGGAAATTCTCAAGATCTTCTCCAATTTTTGTTCAACGTAGTAATTGGCGATCGCGTTAATCGAACTTCATATAAGGCCGCTCAACCCAACCTATCGACTGCGCCCTCTTTAGCTTTATTCTCGATCTTCGCTCGCGAAACTCTTCTATTTTACTCTGCGACGGTGGCGGCGACGGTGATGCTGTTGTTGTTGTAGAAAGGAAATTGTATCTTGTCGACATCGTCAGGCAGGAATAATGAAATTCCTTCACTGATTGAGCCGCTGCTGCGGCGGCTGCCGACAACCATTCGGACTTATCGTACGACGTCGACACATGCGAGTCGATTCTCTCGACGGCCGCGGTTGCTGTCCGGCGACTTGGGTTAATCCGTCAGTATTTTCTAAACAGCAAGGCCCCTTCCTCACACCTCACGCTGAGCGTTTCGACGATTTTAATAGCAGCAAATATTTGTGCTGTATCGGAGGACAGTCGTCCGCTCGATCGCCATCAAATCAATTTGACGAGGAAATCTCGCGCGCGACCGAGTGCGAGAGATTCTTCCGAAAGAGCACGAATCTATCCTGGCGAATGTATCGGCGTCCTTTACAACTTGTTTCCGTCATCGTCTCGATTCGGCTTCGGAGAACGGGAAGCTCAAACAGTGTCTCGGTCGGGAAGTCGATGAAACCTTTCATAAATACAAGATTGAATCCAGAAGCGGTGAATTGATAGCGGGTTGAGAGACGGACCAGCAGGTATGCATGTTCTGAGCGAGCGACGGCGTGCCACGGGTTTTCCCTGTGTATGTAAACTCCGATCGCCGGCTCGATCTGGGAGTGCGTAGGGTGGAAGTGTCATAAATCGCAGCGTTTCTAGCGGCAACGGCCAGTCACCCCCTACTCTCCGCCATGTATGCACTCCTTTCGGGCCACAAGTGAAAAGCAGAAAAGAAAAATCGCTCCCGGGAACGAGGCTGCATGCGACGCGACGTTCGGCCGACGACGCATGGATGGAGGTGGCCGACCAAAGTATCGGATCCTTCTACGGGCGAGCACGTTTGTCTGCTGGCATTCCGTGAGCTTCTTAAGTTTCGCGGAGTTTTTCGACTCACGAACGAGAGACGACTGTCTGGAATTCGAGAGGCGCCAGAGTTCTTCAATATGTATAATTTTTTCGTGTTTTTTGTTTACCCTAAGCGGGGATTCGAGTCGATTCGGAGCAATGGAAGCTGACAACAAAACGGGATACATGTTCACGCGCAGGAAAAAAATTCCTCCGATGTAGTCGTTGAAGAGATTTCTCCCGCGCGCTTTACTGTCCTCCAGCGCGTACCCATCGTTCGGAGCAAGCAGTGCCCATCTCGAGCATCCTCTGAACGAGTGCAAATGTATGCGCCGAATGCATCCCGCTCATCGTCGATTGGCCGTGTTCATGTGATGCATTGCAGAGCACCTCTGAGGGCTCGGATCCATGCTCGCTCATACCACCATTATGATCTCTTGGAAGCGAGAAGAACCTCTTGAAACTCACCGCCCTACCATCTGCGGTTTCCCACCGTTAATGACCCTCGCCGTCTTTGTGGTGGTGGTCGATGTAAGCTTTAAATGCGCCGATTTTAAATGAAGTCTTCTCTTTCGGGCACTTGTCGGACATTACGGTTCTCACTGAGTTGTTATGAGGAATGTTCGCTGTGCGGTCAGCCAACTCTTTGCTGAACGAAACTCCGAATTCATTCAGGAGTTCCCGGCTCGATTCGATTATCCATCTACCTATTTCACCTCAGAGTTTGAGTATCACGGCGTGAAACGACCGGCAGATTGACGGAGGAGGCATCGGTAGCGAACACGCTGTCGTTGCTATTGGAAAGGCATTTTATTACTGGAACATGTGAGCCCCGACTACCTGAATCGAATCGAAGACACGGATTCGGAGGAAATCCAAGTTCTCGAATTACTGAGAGCATTGGCTTGAGAACAAAAGCTCGAATGAGTGCTTTAGAAGCTCACAGTGGAGGATTCTTCTGAAGCTATTGCTAGGTTGGTGTGTTTGTTTGTTCGTACTCTGAGTATGGTCGATTATTTATGAGTTCGAATCGAGAAGTTGCTTCTCGCATATCCGTGTTCTCGTCAAAGTTCAAGAGATGTGCGGATCTGATCCCGCTCCATCCATTCTTTTCTCACCGTTCTGGAAAATTATTGACTCTCGACGCTGGCAACATGTGTATCGGGTCAGACGTGAGCGCGCGACATGTCGTGGGTATCAGATGATCATAGTAGACTGGAACGCTCTAAAAAGTGAACCTTCGCCGGACAGGGGCTACCAGTTCAGGGGAGCGAAATCCGTCTCTACGAAGTCTAACGAAGATTCCGAGTCTGCATCCATCTCGAGCCCAATTTAACGGATTCAGTCTCGAGGATTCGGTTCCGTTTCCTCCCTGAAATTCCTCGGGTGCGCTTTCGGAAGATAGCGTCCCGCTGTCTGTTTGAACTCCTGCCCGTGACATGATTCATGGCGGAGTCATATCCCGCTCGGAATCGAATAAAACAACAGTGGTCGAACAAGAGAGAAGTGTTGTTGAGGACAAGAAATGGATGCCCGTATGTCGTAGGGGCTTTTAGCGGTACGCGGCGACATTCGAAGGCGGATCTAAGGGCAAGGGTTACGATTTGTTCTGTGCAGATCGACATTAAAAACTAGCGCTACGATTGACAACTCAGCCCACGTCGTAAGAGGCCACTAAACACGATTTCTCCGAGTCGCGTTCTGTGTTCGAGGGGGTTTTTGAATGGCAGCTTCGACAGTCGCGCTTCGGCCCTGGAGAGAACCTAGAACGGGGCACTTCGATGAATTTTAGAAGGGACGAATTTTCCTTTCCGTCCTCATCGGAATTTCCAAGCACAATATAAATTGTTCCCCGAGTCGAGTCAATCATGGGCTATTGCATAGTTCGTTTCTTTCTGTTCGCTGTTCTTCGATCGCATTCGCTCCGCTGGGTGCTTCGCTCCTCGATCTCGTGCGACTAAAAAGCCCAAAATTAGGCATCCCATGCTGTCAGGAGTACGGAGGGGTGAGCCACAGCGACAACTGCCTGTTGGCTTGCTTGCTCAAAAGGTCGGTTGACTAGCTAGTTTGTTCTCTTCTTCGCCAGCTAACTCATGCTGCTGCTTCCGTCGCTGCTTTGTGCTCTACTGACTGCTTGTTGTTGTGGCTGTGATGGTTGTGCCTGCTCGCTCGCTTGACTGTCTGTCGGCCTGTCGCAGTGCTGCCACTTCGGCCTCTGCTCTGAGGGGAGGTCTGCTCTAGAGGAGACGATGGAGCGTAATTCCCTGAGTGGAGGGTCTTCGTAAACATTCCACTCAGCTCGGACCTTCCATATTCCCGTCGTGAGCATTCCTTGTGACGGGAAAAATGCCGCAGATGAGGGTTTCCCAATTTTTTTCTCTGGTGGAAGAGCTCCCAATCGATTTGAGAAGCCCGTTTCGCATCTATCCACCCGATGGATGGGTCGATCGATCGATGACCGTCCTTGCGCTAGTCCACGAGATTCGCGAGTAGGGAGCACTTTGATTCCCAGATCGATCCGTGACTGCAAACAGTTTATTCAAAGACATAGCCGAGACTGAGGTCGCCGAGAGGCTTCACCATGTCGAAGCGGAGTGAAGTGCCATTGTTAGGTGAGGCTCGCTTTCTGCCCGTCGGGAGTGAAAGAGCGCCGAAATCGGCTGTGATATACCCGAGATG